TGTCTATAATTTTTCATTATTAGCCTTTTGCACTGAATCTTTCAATGATGCTATTTTGGAATTGTGAAGCCTTCTTTTGGAGGTTTCCACATACCAATTAAAGTAGGTATCGCATTCTGATTGTTGATTTGGAAACCCTTACATTCAAGTACACTTCTTAAATGAATGACCTTATCTGATCGGAATGTTCCCCATAATGGCCACTGTAATTCTAGGTTGTCTAGTAAGATTGTGCCCTTTTTGTAGCTACAGCCATGTGTTGCTTAAGGACAAGGATACATTCAGAGAAATTTGTCACTAGGTGATTTCATCATTGGGCAAACATCATAGAGTGTACTTACACAAACCTAGATGGTATAGCCTACTACACACCTAGACTACATGGTACTAATCTTATGGGACCACCATAATATGCAGTCCATCATTGACTGAAACTTTGTTAGGTGGTGCATAACAGTATCTACAGCTTCCAGGACCACAATTCTTAGACATAAAATAAGCAGGTGTGCTGGAAGGTGGCAAGCTCAATTCTTTAAAACTTGAGGTTCCCATTTCTTTAGCTAAGCCTTGGGACTCTTGGGGCCGGCCCGGTGGCGCAAGCGGTTAAGTGCCCGCGCTCTGCTGCGGCAGCCCGGGGTTTGCCAGTTCGGGTCTGGGCGCGCACCAACGCACTACTTGTCAAGCCATGCTGTGGCGGCGTCCCATATAAAGTGGAGGAAGATGGGCATGGATGTTAGCCCAGGGCCAGTCTTCCTCAGCAAAAAGAGGAGGATTATGGCAGATGTTAGCTCAGGGCCAAGCTTCCTCACAAAAAAAAAAGCCTTGGGACTCTTGGAGCCAAATTAATACCTAAGACGGATGCACCACTGGGTTGGGGATTTTGTGGTGTTTTACAGTGTACCTCATTTTTCTTGAGGTTGGCGAATAACTTTGTATTGATGTAACCTGTTCTGTGACCAGCTGATTCTAGCACAGGAGTCTTAGGTTTAGGTGGCAAATGCTCTAACATCTCTTAAGTGCTCGACCCACACCCACTAATTTTGCTGCTTTGCCTTCCAAGATTCCCATTAGCAACAGATCTATTCCTTTCACCAGAAGATTTCTTTATAAAAGTGGCAGACACCCTAATGGCTTTTAATAGTCTGCCTTGTGCCTACTTAGATTTTGTTGTACCATTGGTTAAAACAGTTTAAATTTCTTATCTGAAGTTTATTTCCCCAAGTCCCCCTGCAGTTTATGGACCTACCACGAGGCTTTATGAGTCCGCTAACTGCTGCCACCCATTGCGAACTCCCAATATAACTGTACTGGAGCCTTTCTGGAACCCCAGAACCTTTCTGAGAACAAACTTTGACACTTCATGAAGTGAGCAGTCTCCATTCCCAAGGGTCCAGAGAACTGCAAAATGGGGTAGAAGGCAGGAAGCTTTTATAGGATAAAGACTAAGGAACAAGGCAGTAAGTATAGAGCCCAGAGTTTGCTTGGTGTTTGGGGATTTTCTGACTGGATATACTGCATTTCTAGTCAAGTGGAGCATTAATAGGGACATAAGAGTATTTAAGTTTCAGTTGGTTGACGTGGCACCCTGGGCAGGAGTGGCTCCATCTTGGACCTAGAAATTTATTTCAACAAAATTATGGCCTGTTAGTCAAATTCAACCTATAGCCCATTTTTATACAGCCTGAGAGCTAAGAATGTTTTTTACATTTTTAAAGGCTGTGGGGGGAAAAATGTGACAGGGACCATATATAGCTCACAAAGTCTAAAGTATTTACTATCTGGCCCTTTACAGAAAAGGTTTCCTGACCTTAAGTGATTTGTGCCTGTGGTTCAAATAGGAATGATTTGTACCTCTACTGAAGCAGGGGTGTAAACTCTCGCATGCACGTAGTTTACTAGTGCAAGAACACTTCATTGTGGTTGCAGCGAGTTCTTTTTCCACTGCAAAATGGGCGTGGGAGGAGTAGATGAGCCAAGCCTTGGCGTCCCCAACTTCAGAGGTCTCCACAATAAGCCTGAACATCAATAAAAGACTAAATCTAAATGTAAGCCTTAGGTGTTTTCTTTCCACAGCATACCTAACCTAATAGAGTGTGATGTGCACAGGTGTGACATCATGCGTGCAAGCAGTTGCTCAGCAAAGGGCAGATAAATAATTACACGATGGAGGAAAGCTTGCTGCACTCTTTAATTTTTTATCTCACGGCAATCAAAAAGTCCTCCCACCAAATAATGAAGTTAGAGTAGAAACAGAACGTCTGGGGAAATATTAGTTTATTCCCAGCTTCTTAGTGATTATGTACAAGACTCTTACTAATTTAAACATATTATTTTATATAAGAATTTTCATTAGTAAACTGAGTCCACAATTTAAATAAATATGCTAATTTTATTTGTGAATTTGATGACTATTCTAGTTGTTTTGAAAGGCTTAATGGTACCACCCCCAAGTTCATGTCTTAGCCATACAATTTCAGTCCAACTTGTGCTATAAACCTCATGGGAGAATATCAAGTATATATGCATTTTGTCTGAGATTTATTATTCATATGAATGTTAACAGTCTTGACATCAAAGAAGAAAAGCCACCTTTCCCCTACCCATCTCCCGCAGACACACCTTTCCAATGTTAAAGTATATTTTATAAACGTTCTCAATATATTGTCTCCCAGGGAAGAGATCAATATACAGTTAACCCACCTCATTCTCATGTGCCTTATTTTTCAAAAATACAGTTTTTTAATTACAAGAACATAAAAATTAAACCAGGATCTTAAAGATGTGCCACAGCTCTTTGTGAAGATAAAATGCATTTTTCTTCTCTGGTAGACATAGGTTTGCAAGTCTTCATTTAATTTGCTGGAATAAGAAGTGATTTAATCAATACTTTTAATAAAAAGAAAGTCTTCATTCATGCTCAGCTGTCTGGCACTAGAAACTGGTAACAGAAGATTCTTTAATAAACTTGTAAAGAATTGAGATCCTAAGCATCTACCTTTGTGTACCTGACAATGCAATGGCAGCTTTATACTTCAGTTATTCTAGTGCAATACAGACATTCAGAAAAAATCACATTATAAGTATCCTCTTTCAAGAGTTTTTTTGATTTTTAGTTTACCAGGCTCATCAAAATGAATGAGTTTCTTAGAGTAATTCTAAAGTGGAATTACTACTATTAAACTATTGAACAGCTTCATCCAAATTATTTGGATGCTGTCTTACGTTGTTGTTGGAAGGAAGTTGAAGTTTTTTGGCATGTTTTACACATTTCTAGAAGCTTTATTGTGTCAGTCACTAGGTAGTTTCATATGTTAAGTGCTCACAACACTGCGAGATACCAACACACATTTTAAGATTTGCCCAAAGACATATTGCCAGTGAGTGGCAGAGCCATCATGCCCATGCCCATACAATTGTATTTACTGAATCTACACATTAAAGTTGTAAGGAAAGGATATTAAAAAGGCTTGTGAACAGACATACAAAAATAATTTCACCACAAAGTTAAAACTAAGTCCCAGTCAACAGAAGAGGGAATGGTCTTTTGTAAGTGAATGTGACTTGAATTGGAAATCCATAGAGCACATTAGATGGTGAGCCAGGTTTGCTTTTATATGTATTGTTACTACTTAAAAAAATAAAACCACCATGGAAAATTAGTGTAAGATTAAGCGCCACTTAATTTTGCGATCTAGTTTAAATTCCAGACCCACTATATACTAGCATGTTCCTTTATGCAAGTTACTTGACTTCCCTTTGCCTTAGTTTCCTCATTTGTGTGAAAGATATGATAATCCTTTTATTTAAAATTAAAAGGAATCATATGAATCATCTAATTCAGTCTCTGGCTTTAAGCATTCAATGAATGGGTTACTTTTCCAGGTAAGGAAACTAAACAAAGCCCTAAATTCATAATTACATGACAGGTTATCTAATCTGTGATTAAAATGTGTATTACCTTAAAGATAAACAAACAAGCTAAGGGAAAAAATGGAATAAGACCTAGGACCTAGGACAAAAATTGAGACTGATGTAAGAAGTTTTTTTTTTCTCTCTTTACTCAATAGTGCCTTTCTTATATCTACTCACAGACAACAAAACACATCTGTACCAACATAAATATTAACATGTGTCTATGACTTACTTTGAATAGGACATGGGAGAGAGGGCAAGTCACATTCAGCCATACAAGCATCATGACTCTTCACAACCTCACAGGTGGTGGCTCAGATCAAGCAAACTATATACCTAACCCCAACTGTTCTCCCCCTTCCGTATGCGTGTGCACACACATACACACTTGCACACCAGCAACAAGTTTTATGTTTGAGGCAGGAAAACAAGAACCACCACCTTTGAGGTATGTTTTTCACTGGATCCAGCTATGAGGGCAGAGGGATACCACTTTGCCCCTGAGAGCAGACCTTACACTTCTGGGGTATCCTTTTGATGTACTTTGTGAAACAGAGTGAGCAGTCAGTGTCTGCTGACTGTTAGTATTGGATGGCAACTGGTGCAGCATTGAAGCTTTTGTCTCTGCTTTCATCACAGGCAGCCAGTAGTACTAGGGGAAGGGTAGCTGGACCAACATGTAAAGGCCCTGTGATCCTAAGGGCAACACAAATAGCTATTTCTGCTCCTTGGCTACCGTTAGCTCTTCAGCAATGCTTACATCCAGACAGAAAAGTGAGAAGGGTAGAATGCTGAGGCCTCAACAATATCATTCATCCTAGCCCTTGTTCAAGATACAACTTTTATGGGAAGCAAAGATTTGAAGTGAATAATTGCTTACTTTAACTTCATTGCTGTTCAAAGTTACATGCAGGAAAAGTGGATACCCAGTTTTTCTATCGGAACCCACTAAACAAATATATCACTATCTTAGCACATGCTTGGATATCATTATGTCTGCTTCAAAGAAGAATTTCCATACTCTAAGCTTTATTCCTTTGGTCAAAGGTGGTAGTTGAGAATACTTAAAAGATTCCTGCATCACTTACCTGTAGAGCCCGTCCTTTGGTTTCAATGGGGAGAGTAAATGCAGAAATGGCACATACGACACAGACAGATGAGAAAAGACACAGGGCTCCCAGGAATGATGCGCTCATAAGAACCTGCAAGTCACAAGTAATGATTCAATTTAGTGTGCCCCGGTCACTTCTTTTTTCTTAATTTTTTTTTTGAGGAAGATCAGCCCTGAGCATCATCCATGCCAATCCTCTTCTTTTTGCTGAGGAAGACCGGCTCTGAGCTAACATCTATTGCCAGTCCTCCTCCTTTTTTTCCCCCAAAGCCCCAGTAGACGGTTGTATGTCATAGTTGCACATCCTTCTAGGTGCTGTATGTGGGACGCGGCCTCAGCATGGCCGGAGAAGCGGTGCGTCGGTGCGCGCCCGGGATCCGAACCCAGGCCGCCAGTAGCGGAGCGCGCGCACTTAACCGCTAGGCCACGGGGCCGGCCCAAAATAGGTCCTTTTAAAGTCATATTACTTGAAACTGGATCAAAGCA